GTGAGATTCACCATCTAGATATCTAGATAGAAAAAGTAGCAAAGTTCTAAGTTCTAAAATCTACAATTTTAGGTACGTTCGTTAAGGGAAAAAGTTTCATTCGAATGTAATTGAAGCAATTTTAATTAAATTATGTCTATGTAATCACCAGTAAATACATAAGTGAATTATGAGGTTTTTTTTTTCAATAATAGAGTATATATCATTTTACAAAGAAATATCAAATAAATATTGTGCAATTAAATTGCGCGCGGGCTGGCCAAACAGGAGCATATCACCGCTCCCATGTCCTTGTCCCGCCGGTCCATGGATTACTTTGTATATACTAGAGACGCCATTCCAGGCCCGATCAACTCTGTATGGAATACCTACGGGGGCTGAACTTGATTATTGCCATTTGTCAGATAAATATCTTGTTTCATAATTAGAAAGATTTTGCTAAAGATAAATTACACTCTGAAATTTTGAATACAGAAATAATAATCCATAGGAAGATAACTATGCTAGTCGTATTTTTCTACGTTATTATGTTAGCGTATTCTTGACAGTAAAAGAAAAATAAATGTTTTCTTTTTGTTTTGATTTTCAATTAGTAGAAAATTATATTTTTTTTCTGTTAGCACCAAAACATCTGTATGAGTATAAAATTCTCAGAATATGACGCGGACGTATAAATTATTGTTGTTCATGATTGGTTGTTGTGTTAGTTTTGCTAAAACAATTATTGGTTTGTAAACCACTGGACCGACAACGTCCAATGGTTTACAAACCAATAAAACAACCTACTTTGATAATATTTGTATTTAAATATTCATTTTGTTTTCAGCTGTAAATTGTAGGCGAAATATTATATTCCTTTCCAAGAGCAGTATACTACTTTAGCTTTTCAGACAAAGCTACATAATGAGCCCAGAATACTGTGTGAAAAACATTTTCATGATGGTTAATTTAATGATGCAACCAAGAAAAAGCTCTTAAGAACTGTATTCCCATGTTATGTAAGTAAAATGTATAATGTATATGGTAATATGGTATGTATATAGTTTTCTTTAAGAATTACTCAGATATTTTATATGGGGATTCCTATATTCAGGAGTGGACTTTGATAGACTGTAATGAAGATGATGATGATTATTCAGATGACCATCATCTGGATCTAACATGGATGGACAGAACACATACAGTAGTTTGAATCCTGTTAATGCTTTCAACCAATTTGTAATAATTGTATAGGACAATCCATCCAAAGGATTGAAGTCTATAAAGTTAGCACAAGTCCTTACTTACATTATTAAAAGTGCAACACACTGTGCATATTATTTTTAACAATCAAATATTTTTTTTAAAAACAACAAAACCTTAAGAAAGTTCAGGCATCACATTCTGTGAATAATTACATTTCGTCCTAAACCTATCAAATTTAAAGGCACAACTTGTACAACACAGTAGAAATACATGCATCAAATGGTTCCCAAACAATAGATAAACACAAGACTTCTCTTTTTTCACATAGTTATTTTGTTATATTAGGTGTTAGGTTAGGTAAGGTTAGTTGGCTGAAGAAGATCGATTAATTAAAAATTTATTAAAAATGTATTGGTAGAAGGGTAATGTAGTACCATGAGTAGGGACTAATTTAATATGAAAGTAATGTCATGATTATAATGTTAATTTAATTTATTTGTTTATTATAATTCTTTTCAGTTTTTATTTATTTCCGGACTGACAAAGTGTATTCCCATTTTATTTTATGGAATCACAAGCTGGTCTCTCGCAAATTATTGCTGCAAAACCTCAAGCGGGATCTTCAAAAAGGACAATATTAGGAGGACAACACTATATCTACTGAAGAACAATCAAAGCAAATCAGATAATGTTACACCTGAAAAATAAAGTACTCTATATGAATTTTTTTTTAAATTAAATAATGAATATTTTTGGAATCTAATATTTAATATGTTTTATAATTTTGAATTAAAATTTTTCTTAATATATTGCATATAATATAGTGTCAAAATATTTAGTATCAGGTATTCAGGGAAATAGATAGACAACTAAATATTATCAAAACAAAATTATTATTTGTGGATGTTGCACTTTACACTTCTGTGTGGGAGCTTATTAAATAACTTGTTTTGGATTAAAATATTGATATTTTGGTTATTGTAGACATTCTTTGATTTGTGATTGTGCATATTATCAATTCATCCATGATTGTAAATCTTAAATATTATGTTTATCATTGTTTACATAAGAAATTGAAATATTATAATCAATATTGATTTTGTTTTCATGTTTAAACTTATCAAATGTCTTTATAGAAAGAACTAAGCTGCTGGAGAAATTTTGTCTTAAGTTATGTATGTATTTTTTAGTTTTAATTTATATTATTATTTTGAATAAACAAGTTAAAATTTTGTAATTTTTAATATTTTATTTAGCGCTGGGATAGGCAACCCACAAATACCTCAAATAAAAAAAACGAAAAAAGACCACGTTCAAATTTTCCCGTCACACGAGAAGTGCAGATAGGCTGACGATAGATGGAGCTAGTGGGTATATATATCATATTTCTTAAATTTTGTATGAATTTTTCGTTCTTCTCCGATAGTATTAATAGTGTTCTGTGCGCCATTCATTCGCAGTGCGTCGTAGAGAGCACACAGGTGCTACAGTTAAAGCTTTATCATGCCCGCTGTCGTCTATACAAGAGAAAAAGCGATACCTAAGTCACAAAATGTACAAACGTATGTATAAACGTAACAAAGTAAAAAAAATATTGAGAAACGTGATATGCCATTGAGAGATAGTGTATAATATTTGTTGATACGCAAAAGGCTGTGCGCTTTTTATAAATATTTATATAATAAAATCAGACACAATTTCAAAAATAAAATAAAATAATAATATAATATAATTTTATTTTTATAAAATGCGGATTTAAGTAAAACCGTTTTGGAGCAGTCTTTAGTCCTAGTATATATTTAAACTGCTTGACTGCCTCGTTGGTCTAGTGGTAGTGCGACTGCTGATCATGAGGTCCTGGGTTCAAATCCCGGGTCGGGCCAATAAATTAATTATTGAGTTTTTCCTTCAAGAAATTCACAGTAGTTGCCCCGGAGTCAGGAAGTTGGCGGTGTCTCACCCCGGTACCTCGGAAAGCACGTAAAGCCGTTTGTCCTGCGCCTGATCTCTCTCCGGTCGTGTCGGTTTACCGTTCCATTGGATTCTGACAGTGAGGGAATAGAGAGTGCACCTGTGCTTGCGCATACACTTGGGCACTATAATCCTGTCCTGCGCTGATGGCTAGCCTCCGATGAGGCGCCGCCGTGACCGAAATTCGGTCTGGAGGACATTATTATTACATTTGAACAGTGAGCTACGAGCAGTCCTAAGCAATACTTACTTACTTACTTACTTATCTTCACGCACAATCCCTAACGGGGTAGCCAGAGAGAACAGATCGCCAAGTGTCACGATCCTTACATACCTCTTTCGCTTCTTTCAGGTTCATTAACTTCTTCATATATGCACGTCTAGGTATCCGAGTACTCTTGAACTTCCCCTCTTCGATCAATTTGCTCACATGGTCTTCGAAAGTTAGTCTCGGTCTACCTCGACACCTTTTAATATTTACTTTCGCTCTATATATTTTCTTCACCATTCGGTCTTCACTCATTTGCTCAACGTGCCCAAACCATTGGAGTACGCCCCTATCAATTTTTGTGATCAGGTCACCTTTCAATCCTGCCATATTGCGAATCTCTTCGTTTCGCTTTCGATTCGGTTATGGTAACGCCACACATTTTACGAAGAGATCGCATCTCCACCGCATTCAACTTGCTTTTATGCTTCTTCTGGCATACCCAGGTTTCGCTGCCATATAACAAAGTCGGTACCAACACTGCGTTATGTATTGCAAGGCGTGCACTCTTCACCACGCCTTGCCTTTTGACTAATGCATTCAGGGCACCATTGACTTTGTTTCCGGCAGCGACACGCCTATCCACATCTAAATCACATCTTCCATCCCGGCTGAAAGCACTCCCCAAGTATACAATTTCATTTACCTGTTCTAGACATTCCTGATTTACCCATATTTCACATTTCGTTCTCTCTTTGTCCTTTTCAAATACCAGAACCTTAGTTTTATTAGAATTCAAACGAAGACCTTTAATTTCACATTCCTCTTTCATACACGTGACTAATTCCTGCAGTTCTGCTTCTGATGGTGCAATAAGCACTGCCTCATCAGCATACAGCAGACAATTAACTCTAATGTCACCCAATTTCACACCCAAACAGCTTTTTTTCAGCTTCTGTAAACAGCTGTCGAGACACAGTATGAACAGCCAGGAAGACATGATTTGGTGTCCGTGATCATGCGGAGAGAAAACATTTGATCCGTACATCCTCTTCCAGGTCTAAATCCGCATTGTGCCTCCCATAAGAATCTTTCTGATTTCTCTTGCATCCTACGTGTCAAAACCTTCGAGTAAACTTTACTTGCTAAACTGGTCAAGCTGATCGCCCGATAGCACCCGCAGTCAAAATGTGGTCCTTTACCTTTATATAAAGGCACAATGACCGCGGATCGCCAATCATCCGGGACATCTCCCGTCCGCCAGCGCAAATTGCACAGCAGACGAATACATCGATATCACGCGAATACATCGATACTGTTTAAAATATCGATACGAAATATTATATACTCGTCGCTATTGCTAGCAGCTAGCCGGATGCGCGCGCCGATCGCCCATTCATATCTGCTTTACCCCCTCAAAAACTACGTGACCACGATACTATTTTGCCTTAAAGCGATTAATGGGGTGAAAGATTTGTTCAGCAATAGAGTGGTAGTAAGAAATTAATGAATGAATGATAAATTTTACAAATAGTCGGCAGGTGAGATATTTAAATTATTACTTATTTTTCAGAAAATTATTTATTTCAAAATGATGACACACACGGCAATGGCGTTATATGAGTTTTTGTAATCGTTAAGCGAGTGCCATCGTGTTCGGTAGTAGCTCTTTTCCTGAGGAACATCGTGGAGGTTTTGGCGTCGGCTTCAAATCACCCGGGCATGCAATGGGTTTATGTTTCGTATCACAGGATGAATTAGGTGTAGTCTTTTTTCGCTCACAATATGACTCTAAAGTTTGTTTTGGTTTACAACCTGATTTATCAAAATTTTGTCCTGCCTTTGGGTGTTGGTTGTCTTGTTTGGGTGCTGTTTGGTTGTCTTTTTTGGGTGTAGTTTGGTTATCTTTGAGAGAAACATTTTGCGATAAACATGCGCCTCCCTGAGAGCTAGGATTATTTGTAGGCGTGGAATCTTTACCACAATCCGATAGATTTTTTTTAATATTTTTTAGTTTCTTTAGCCACGAGTCGGCTTTGTCAGCGTTAGCAAAGAGAGCGTTGCGCTTTATTTCGTGATCCGAATGGGAACCACGAACACGTAGTACAGGTCGTGGTGCCGAATCTGAATGCAGAGTCACTCGCAACTGCACAGTGTGCGCGCCGGCCGGCACACGGAGTTTTAGGCTTCCACTCTCTATAGGCCCTTTTCTTTGCTCTTCCAGTATAATTCGACCACTTGCTGTTTCTTCTTGTTCATTTCTTTCATGAAACATTTTATTTAATTTTTCTGTATTGGCAATAACTTGAGAAATAACGGACTGTAGTTCAGCTTTTGATGTGATATGTTTGTCGATTTTGTTGTTGTCGTATTCAGACAAATTAATTATTGCTGAGTGTAATTTACGTACCCCTTCGCAAGAACTCTTAGATCGACGTCGCAATCGCTCGACAAGGGAGGGCTGCCGACAACGAGGTGGTTCGGGTGCCATTTTTGGAGGAGAAGAGCACCAATCAGTGAGATTTTCGGGGCCGTTTCCCTTACATTGTTTTTTAGGGACAGTTACTTTATTATCAATTTTCTTACTTAACCCGCTATAGTCTTGAGATCGAAGCTGATTACTAGTAGTAGGTGTGCATTGTAATGGTTTGGAAATAAAATTTGGCGGAGAAGATACGCGATGAGAAGAGGATGAATTATTGGCATCACTGCGATCGATTTTAAGTAAAATACGTGGATGATGTGCACAAGGGTCCACGTGAGGAACTCTGTTAATATCACAACTTGTGGCGGGATCTAACTCAACAGTACTCGACTCTGTATCAGTTCGGCGTTGAATATTAGAATCAGCTGCAGCTGTGGAATTTGGATGTAGCACTATGTAGTCACGACCGTCAGTGGCGCGTACCGTTTCACGGTCAACGCCAAGCCAGTATTTAGTGGGCGGCGGTGGCGAAGCAATGAGTTTCTTTCGTTCCGCTACTTCACGTTCATATTCGAGGCGACGCGCGAGTTTTGCAGCTGAGATGCGCTGTGCTACACGATCTAAGGTATCTCCGCAACTTCCACTAGTCGCATTTGATAACTTTGTACTGCACTGGACCTCGTTCATTGATGAAGACTTTGAAGAGTCCTACGTTAAAGAAATATTAAATTAGTAGTATTAGAAAAACAAACGTAGTCATTGATAAAGTAGTTGTTATGATTTTATTGCAGTTCTTATGGTGGAAATCATCACTTTCAGTTCTATACAGGGAACTTCAGGGAAATTTAACTGTCAAGTGTGAAAATGAAGTCTCTATCCACTATCAGGGGACGCTTATGAACAGAAGTAAACTGTTTATAGTCCGATAAATTTTAATGTTTTTATTTGGCTTGTGACAAATATTTTTTAGATTTACAGTACATCATTACAGAACGGGGGAATAGGCGGAGCACACCTATAAATGTCAACACAATCAATCGTTTCCAATTTTCGTGTCAAGCGTCGTTGCATGCAAATTATTTAAAAAAAAGCCAAATTGTGTAATAATTACGAGTCCAAAGAACAGTTGGAAATGGAATTTAAATAAAGGAGACATTTCCTACAACCAGTAAGTCGAAACTATTTATATTTTGTGTATATTAGAAACAAAAATAAAGAAATATTAAAGTGTCAAAAACATTAAGTCTGCGTACAGCGAATCAGGTTTGTAGTAGAGATGGGCCGAATATTCGTTTTATATTCGGTATTCGGCATATTCGGCAGGTTTACCGAATATTCGTATTCGGCCGAATATTCGGCTAAATCACCGAATATTCGTTAAAGTGGTACTCAAAGTATCCACTTTATGGAAATGTACGAATTGAGTAATGCCATGTCTTTCATCATTTTACTGTTGATAGTATATTTATTTATGGGTTAAATCTACTTGTATAACGATATGTTTTTGAGGTACTGTAGATTTATTTCCAATTATAGCAAACGAAAAGCTTGATAAAATTTTGTTTAGAATCAAACAAAGAAACATTACATTACAGTTGTCAGTTTCCTTAAAATTGGTTCAAATAGTAGATGTTCTTCCACTTATTTTAACCACATACTTATCAATTTTCACTAAGAATACTTTTTTTCATAAAAATAGTCAAAATATAAGCATGTGCCGGCAATTGCTCAGTACTAGATGATGCAATAACATGTCAGGTGTGGCGGGGGAGTCAGGGGAAAGCTCCGGCGCTAATCGCGTGCTTTACGGTAACAAGTTTCGACATAAATTGGTTAGGTACCTCGGTAATCCTGCCGAATAATATTCGGCCGAATATTCGGTTCGGTAAAATTTTACCGAACGTTCGGCCGAATATTCGTATTCGGGAAATCCATATTCGGCCCATCCCTAGTTTTTAGTAGTTATAATATGACGTAATTGCTTGTTGCTTGCTCCCGGAGATACCTCGTACAAAAGAAGGTTGACAGCCATTCTATTGTGTATTATAGTATTCTATAATGAAAATAGAGTTCTAATAACATTCTTTTTATTTGTGAAGTATGCTTGCGCAACACTAGGATATTCTCCTGTATTTTGGAGTCAGCTTACATACATAAATTGTACAATTGAAGGGCATACAAATACTTATTTTTAGCGATATTCGAACCTTAACGCTGCAACTACTTACTAAGACACTGGCGCTACGGAGCCACCTATGTGGAGTAGTAAATTGTTTACGGGTCAACGCAAAGTACGCAGAAGTAGCAAACCTGTGCATGCAGATGATCTCGCTAATTAATGATGACTTTAAAGTGTTCTACGTTAAAATTAATATATTATTAGTATTAGAAAAAGAAACGTAGTCATTCAAAGAGTTATAATGGTTTTTACTCGGAAATCATCACTCTCAAGTTCTGTACAGGGATCGTCAATTTAATTGTCAAGTGTGAAAATGAAGTCTCTAACAATTAACAGGGGACGCTTATAAACAGAATTAGACTGTTTATAGTTAGATAATGAATTTTAGTGATTTTTTATTTGAACCATGCCAAGCAGTTTTTAGATTTTCAGTACATTCGATAGCTTATGAAAATTAAGTTCTAATAAAAATTACTTTAATTTGTGAAGTAAGATTGCGCAATAGGATATTCTCCTGTGTTGTGGGATCAGTTTACATACATAAATTGTACAGTGACAAACATCCAGACACAGTATAATTATTTGTAGGGCATACAAATACTTGTTTCGTGCGATATTCGAATGTTAGCGCTACAACTAGTTGCTAAGGCACTGCTGCTACGAACCGTCTATGTAGAGTAGTGAATTGTTTACGGATCAAAGTAAAGTACGCAAAAGTAACAAACCTGTGCATACAGATGTTCGTAGGTGAATGCTCTGGTCGAGGGGCACGTGGGGCAGCGCGGGGGGCACGTGGGACAGGGCGGGCCGGCGGCGCGCACGGCGCTCAGGGTGGCACCGCCCGCGCACAAGTCCTGCGGCAACGCGTCACACGCACTGCGCCCTCCACTTGGTGTCTCCTTGAATTGTAAAATTGTATTTACCGCGTTGCACCCACAAATTTTAATTAAAATACGTAGATGATCTGCATAAGGGTCCATGTGAAGAACTCTCTTAATACCACAACCTGTGGTGGGATCTAATTCAACAGCACTTGACGCTGTATCAGTTCGGCGTTGAATATTAGAATCTGCTGCAGCTGTGGAATTTGGATGTAGCACGATGTAGCCACGACCGTCAGTGGCACAGCGTTCTACTTTAAAAAAATATTATAATAGCAGTATTAAAAAAAGAAACGTGGCCAATCATAAAGTAGCTGTTATTTATAAAAACTGTAACAATAACATTACAGTTTTTAAAAATCTCTGATGGAAATCATAACTCTCAAATTTTGTACAGGGATTGTCAATTTAACTGGCAAGTGTGATAATGAAGTCTCTATCTACTATCAAGGTGTGGCGGCGCTGTTGTCGCGCAACAAGCGAAACACATCGAATCCTATATCGCGTTATCAAAGTTCCGAATAAAAACAGTATATATAGAATAGCTCCCAATTATCACACGAAGGGTTGTCCAAGCAGAACACCTTGCCCGGCTGGAGATCTCCCCTTTTCCTTCGTGGCCACAAAGGGACGTTTAAGAACAACATTAGACTGTTTATTGTATGATAATCAATTTTATTGATTTTTTATCCGTACTGTACCTAATATTTTTTTAGATTTACAGTACATTCGATAGTTTATAAAAATTGAGTTCTAATAACATTTTTTATTTTGTGAAGTATGCTTGCGTAACACTACGATTTTCTTCTGTATTGTGGCGTCAGTTTACTTACATAAACTGTACAATGACAAACATTCAGACCCGGCACAACGATTTGTAGGGCATACAAATAATAAATACTTGTTCCGTCCGAGATTCGAACCTTAGCGCTGCACCTAATTGTTAAGGCACTGCGCCATTGAGAAGTCTATGTGGAGTAGTGCGTTGTTTACGGGGCGACGCAAAGTACAGAGTAGTAGGAGAAATAGCAAACCTGTGCGTGCAGATGTTCGCAGGTGATCGAGCAGGGCGGAGGGCTCGTTGGGCAGGGTGGGCGGTTGCCGCGTGGGGGCGGGCGGCAGACGGCACGCACGCCGCGCAGGGTTGCGCGCGCCTCGTCACGGCAGGCGGGCCGCGCGTGCGCCTCGCACGGAGGACACACCGGCAAGGAGCCGCCCGCGCATGAGTCTCGCGGCAGCGCGTCGCACGCACCGCGCCCTCGACTTGATGTCTTCTTGAATAGTAAAGTTAAAGTGCTGTGGATGGATGCGACCTCATGAGACCGCTAGGAATTTGATGGAATATGGACGCGGTCTCATGAGACCGCTAGGTGGTTGAGAGGTTAAAGTGTTAACATAAACGTTACTGTCTCTAATGGGCGCAGACCTCGTATTTTTCTGAAAGGCTTATAAAATCAATAAAGAATCCGCTGCTATACTCTTATCATCATCAATTGTTATCCCGTATGGAATTAAATAGAATACCTCGTCACTAGTTAATCTTTTGTTCTCTTCATCCACTACCTGAAACATAGCAGCATTATGCTGTTATTTACACTGGTAATCAGCGCTAGGGTTGTTCTTTGCCAGCTGATCCGGCCCATTCGTGCAGTGTGTCTCATCTACTTACTTACCAAAATCATTACTTTTTATATATCTAATACAAACACAATGTGCACACTAAGTATTTTAGTAAAACAGGTAGAAAAAAACAAGGTTTAGCATTATATTACTATAAGATCAAATTCTAAATTTCGGTTGCTGGCATAAACTGAAACTTAAGGCTAGAGCAAACGCCAAGTCTCCAAGCTATAATGGCTCATCCCAATCGTCTTTTTACTACAATAAAATAAATAGTGATGATTTTAATGTTCACTTACAATTTTCAGTAATTGTGTGAGTCCTCGTAAGGTCTGCCTGTGTAACGCCATGCTGGTGTGTGTCGCGGTCTTGACAATGGAAACCTACTTGTCTTCGATGATCAGGTTGGTTACGCCAAACATCTCGTTGGTCGTTGAAATTATATATTATATTATTATTCTTTTGTTGCTATAAATATTTATAAAGTCGATGCAATCAGACGTAGCCATAATTCAATTGCTATTGTTTACTTAGTCAGCTTTCTAGCACAGGACATGTCCACACCTGTGAATTGGAAAAAATCGTCATTTTTATTATCCACAGTGGTCATATGTTCATTTCTCGGGTCAGAATGATTATTTGGTTTTATCAGTCGAGACATTTGCAATAGCAATCCTGGGTCAAGAAGTTGTTAAAAATCGCGATCGCGTGATCTCCCTCCGGTCGTGTCGGATTGCCATCCCAGCTGACCATGAGATTAAGGGAATAGGGAGTGCACTGGACACACACACACACGCACACACACACACACACACACACTCACACACACACACACACACATGCACAAAAAAACGCTACACACACACACACACACAGCGCGCGGCCTATGTTCGTCTCGAATACTAGCGTAAAATAACTAACAGATCAACGCTGACGTGTTTAGTATGGGTAGTATAGAGAAACGAAAATCCTTTTTAATGGAAACGAGGCATTTAATCTTAGTACTCACGGGTGACAACGCATCTGAATTTTAATAATAATTATCGTAATCTAGGATGGATCTAGATGTTTATAAGCCACAGCAACCACTTACCATCAGATGTTTGTCATCCTATCCTATAAAAAAGTATAGTTATAAACAATAGTCAGTTACCTCTCGTTTGTTATTCTGATAAAGAAATTAGAGAAAAAATGCCAAAATGAAATAGAAATGATATTTTTTCTTAATAAATATCTAGACATAAGGCATTGTGTCACCTTAGTTTGTAAAATAAAAGGGCCAAGAACTCCAATGTATATAGTTACAAGAACCATTTCAAGTCAATCTTGGACCCGTAACCAAGAAAAGGAAAAAAAAACTAAAATTACATTATCGGTAGTCGGTGTATAAGTGTGCGGTCCTCGATGTTGATAGAGATAGGGAAGTTAACTCTAAGGCTATTTACTTTTCTATGCCCATCAACATAAGGACCCTTTCCGATGCTGAAACATACTTAAACCTGAGTATGTTACAAAATATTGGTTTTGATAAGGAGAATATGAACAATCAGTTTGCGATCTATTTCATGCACACTTGACCAAAGTGCTTAACAGATTTGGTCGGGCGTGAATAAGACAGGCATATAACGGTTGGGTCATGTCTGTCCTCATGTATACCTTCGGCATATTCGAGTGGACTCGGAAAAGTCCGCACTGTTATGACATACCTTAGGATACACCATCTGAGATCGTCATCGATAATAAGGTTGTACTCGCCGTTAAAGCATGGTGCTTGGTGCACCATGCATAATCGCGAAGTGTGCAGCCCAGGCATATTATGATGACATTGCACATATCATTTTTTGCCATTCTATTTACTAAATATTGTAAGTATCCTATAGAATTATATAATTTAGTTACATAATTTTTCATTAAATGACAATACAATTTAATATGTGAAGTATCTCAATACAATCGTAATATAAATAATGTAATATAAATTATATACTGATGACGTTTCTTACCGTCTGAAAAAAATAGGGTGTAACATGTGAACGGAGTAGAAACCTATGATACTGATATTTTACAAAGAATAAAAACTGAAAGAACAGACACACCGCCGTTTCTTCCTCTCCGCACGGGGGGCTTTCAGTTACACCTATGGTGAACAAATGTTTGTTAAAAGAGCCATGTCCTGTGATAGCACTTGTTACTATCCTGATCTGTGGCTTGTTCAGTCTCATTAGAACCTAGGTTAGACGACTGTTTATTTCAGGTAGGGCCTCCCTAGCTTGTCTACAGTCTACTAAATTAAATTTCTTACCTTATATAAAGCACAAGTCCGGTCGTGCATGGAGTACTGCTGTATGAGTATATGGGCTGGTGCAGCAAAATCCACCTGGCAGCGTCGGACTTAGTGGAGAGACGTGCCAAGAGACTCATTGATGACCTTGATTTCGTTGAAGGCAACCTTGACAGCCTCGAGCACATGTGCAGAGTAGCCAGCTTCTCAGTATTCTATAAGATGGGTATATAGTACTTTTCTTATATTTTTTACCATTCACTTATATTACCTATTCTGAACCTCGTGTGTTAATGTGGCCGAAAATAAAAAGTAAAAAAAAACACACCGTCATTTTTTAATTGTTTTCCTGTTTACCAAAGTGAGTAATTCTAACGAAAATATTTGATTATTCTGAAGTTTATTACAAAAAAGGGCAAATACGACTCAAGCAACGAAATGAATTTAATGGATTATACGAATATATTGCATACAGTGTAGTGGCGGTGTAAGAATATGCTGTGCGGTACCGATCTGCCTCTTGCGGAGTTAACAGAATGTTTTTGCATATATTATACCAATAGAACAGATTACTAAATTTCTTATAGGTTCTAACCTCTTACACTTCATGCTATATTGTATACTTATTTTAAAAGGACGATGTAATCATTTCCTATAAATTAATTTAATAAAGATCTATGGCTCTACTGAACACTCAGCAGTGGACTTTGGAACTTCGCGGGTGTGAACATAACAACTTACCAAGGTTTCATCGTAATCGGATAAATGGTGTTGCAAATCATTTTAATATATTTGTGGCGACATTAGTTACATTTCATAACAGATACAGTGCTATTGGTTGTGTTTTGTTTTACGTCGTTGAGTCACGGTGCAGCTCGAGGTTGCAAGCAAACGGGTCGGCTTGACCGGGGAAGGACCGCGCTCTCGTAGAATACCATAGAAAAAAAGCAACTTTATGCTGCTATGTTTCATAAGTTGAATGTAGAGAGGAGATATATTTAACCCCTAGAAACAAAACAAGGTATTTCATTTTATCCTCAGAGGTACTAACGCATTTGCATTTTAATGCTGAATCAAGTATAGATGTAGATGTGTATTGGCCCCAGCAGCCATCGCAATGATCAGGTGTATGCTCGTTTGTCACCCTTTATTCTCTAAAATATATACAATAAATAATATAAATATATACTAAGCAAAATCAACCTAATAACAGATAACTATCCTGCGAATCCGTATCAGTAGAGCAATCAATTTAAGAAAATTAATATCGCAGGCCAAAACTTACCAATGCGACATTGTTTGGTGAGGGGTTTGAGTTTATCCAACAGTTTCAGAGCCACAATAGATTAACAAAGCCCGGTTCCAACTTTTCTCATTTTCTAGGAGCAAACCAAAAACGTGGATTTCGAATGAAATTACGAAAATTTAACACAACTCCGATAACCCTTTTATGTGAGATTTAAGACGTAAAAGGGATATTTTAAATTTGTTCAAGAGTATATTCTTTAAAACCGTGATATTAACTTTAATTTTAGGTGACTGATGTAGCCATTGTCTCTAGATGTGTTGTCACCTCTGAGCATGAGGATAGAATGCCTGTAATTGTATGGCTCTCTGTACCCTTCAGACAAAAAAAACAGTAGTACACTGCAGAAAATAGTGGGTAGTCTCGGTGTCTACGGATCCACAGGATTCACACATAATTCATTTTTATTACTCTTAAAACATTTTTGGCCCATTCTGAATATAAACCCGAGACTTCATGACCAGCCAATGCGTTTACGATCACTTGATCAACGATACAGTTTAAACGAATTTACTTAACGATATTACACATTGGAACCGTAGAGTCGACGTGATTAACTCTCTATTCAGCGTAACAGAATAAATTTTAGTTCTGTTCGTAACACGTTCGTAATCGAGTTTTACTTTCTGATAAACGATACGATATGAAACGATTTCAAATAAATGGAATGACCTTTCAAGCTACCGTTTAAGCTTTTAACTTTTTGCGCAAATTAGTAACCGTTTCCAGTTACTGCTTCTGAGAGTGTTAGTAAACTTCACACACATTGCAAAATCAATGCCAATAGTTTTAACAAAACTAGGTATGTGTTTTATCGCGATGAATTAAAGTAAATAGTAATTATAAATTTTCTTTTCGTGGTGATATTCATTATTGCTTAAATTACGTGGTAGTGCCATAGTGCAGCTATATCATAGTCGTAGCAGGAATGGGTCGGCACGATCGGGAAAGGACCACGCTCTCACATAATAATACCGTAAAGTAGCAGCTTAGTGTTGCTGTGTTTCGTATGGCGAGAGTAGAGAAAAGGAGACACATTTTACTGGAAACAACGCATTCCACATTCATCATCATCATCATTACAGCCCTTCACAAGTCCACTGCTGAACATAGGCCTCCCCCAAGTAATGCCACAAAGCACGGTCCTGAGCCACCTGCATCCATCGACTTCCTGCATGTCTTACCAGGTCGTCACTCCATCTAGTGGGGGGTCGCCCTACACTACGCCTACCGGTACGAGGCTGCCACTCGAGAACCTTTCTTCCCCATCGGTTATCGGTTCTTCGAGCTATATGGCCGGCCCATTGCCACTTCAGCTTACTAATCCGTTGGGCTATGTCGGTCACTCTGGTTTTACTGCGGATATCCTCATTTCTGAGTCTATCACGCAGAGAAACTCCGAGCATAGCCCTCTCCATAGCTCGCTGAGCGACCTTAAGCGTCCTCATACGGCCAGCAGTGAAGGACCACGTCTC